GGAGCCATAAGGAGCTGGAGGAGGCAGGGAGGCCTGCCTAGAACCTTCCGAGGGAGCCCTGCTCTGCTGACACCTTGGTCTCAGACTTCCAGCCCCCAGAACCATGAGAGGGTAGATGTGTGTTGTTTTAAGCCGCCTGGACTGTGGTCATTTGATGTGGCAGCCCCAGGCTGGCACTGCTCCCCCATCACCATACCTTGCCTGCCCACCATTCCTTCTGCTCCAGCCACACTGGACTGTTTCACTGATGCGACTTTGTGGCTTCCTTTTTCTTCTCTGTCTCTAAGATGACCCCTGGATTCAGTGGTCTGCCTTGGGAATCTACAGTACACAGTAGCATACTGAAGTCCTGCAAATAAGTGACATCTGCTTTACTCTGCTCTACCAAGAGCTTACGGGGCCACAGAATCCCTTCCCAGGGCTCTTCACATCCCCAGCTATGCAGCTCCTAACAGCCCTGGAGCTCTGCCGCTCCAACCTGGGCCCCACCTTCCCAGGCCACACGGAGGGTTAGAGGAGGGGCCGCAGTGTGTCCACCTCAGGAAGTGTGTGTGGAAGGATCGGGGGTGGGTCAATAGCTCCAGGCCAGACCTCACAGCCCCTCTGTCCACTCAGGGTCCACTGAGACAGGACAAGGGGAGCCCAAGGTGGATGCCAGGACGTGGAGCAGCTCTGGCGGAAACACCAGGAGGGCCTGGGAAAAATCTGTCACCCACCTAGGATAAAAATGAAGTTGGGGAACCCTGAGCATCATGGACTTGCCCTCGAGAGCAGAAGAGGGCCAAGTCAGCCGCACCCAGGGCTGGTCACCAGCTCCGCCTCCCGCCAGCCGACCTGAGAGGGCCAGGAGCAATCCTAATGCCATTAACAGTTTCCTGCCATTCTCTCCCGTCCCTGTGCGCTCCTCGGTTCCTACACAAACATGCTGACTCCAAGGCCCACCCTTGGCCCCGACATTGTCCTCCAGGCTGGGCTTCATGTCACACGGAAGCAAGAAGGTTTCACAGTGGCAGAGTCGGTGCTCACCAGGAGGGGCTGAGGGGTGATGGAGAGACGAGGAGGGCGGCAAAGGGGAGAGAGGCGGACTGGAGGCAAAACCAAGAATCCTGACCGCCCCCCAAGGGAGTGAGTGGCAGAACAGGACTAGGGAGCTCGGAGGACTGTCCTGACCTCCAGCCCACAGGTATGCCGGGCAGACACAGCAACACTCACCACCCCACAGGGCAGAGCCCCCTAAGACACATCCCAATGCAGGCGCCTGATCCCGCTCATGCCTGCCCAGCCCCCTCGCCTGAGCCCACAGAGTGAGCTGTGCCCAGTGGGCGGAGCAGAGGCAGAGCAGGCTCCGGGTGGCTCAAGCTAAGCTGAGCCATGGGGGAGGAGGGAGGGAGAGAGGAAGCGCCCCAGAATCCACAACAGTGGCAAGAGGCCCTGGACTCAGCGCCCAGAGGTCGCAGCACCACAGACCCTGCCCCCAACCCTTGACCAGGTGACACCATGGCCAGGAGTCCCCATCACCACGTGTGCCACTGCCACCATCATTGCTGCCGAAAGGAGCCACCGCAGGCCCAGCAGGCTTTACTGGCACCCCTCCTCTTGTATCAGGAAGAGCTGGCACTGCTTGAACACTAACTGTATACTGACACCAGGGCCAGGCTCCATGTGAAGCCAGGTTTGACTGCTTGAATGCTTACAGTATACTGACACCACGGCCCGGCTCCATGTAATCCCACATTTTGAGCTGGGTGTTGTCACATGCACATCCTGGAGCCTGAGGCCCAGGGACTGGAGAGGTCGCCTACAAGGTCCCACGGCTCAAAGGGGGCTGGGAAGGACCTGAGCTGCAGACTCAGCTGGGCTTTTCTCTCTGTACTGCTTGGACAGGGTGGGCACCCAGGCCAGTGACAGACTCTTGTCCCCTATCCTGGCCTGGACCCAGCCAGGGTCCACAAGGCCACCCATCCTGCCCCACCCTGCCCTCCCAGGGGACCCAGAGAAGCCCCTGGCCCAGGCCAGCCCAGTCACCTCAGCAACGGGCTCCTGGACAGAAGCAGCCCAGAGAAGGCTGGCCCTGTGGCCATAGGCCACCTCATGCAGCCACTTGCCAGAGAGCAGCAGCAGAAGATCCCTGCTGCTTTCCCACCTGGGCTGGAGGCCCCATGGCCTGGGGAGGTCCAGAGGCTGTGGCCAGGCCCGCCAGTCAAGCCCAAGGCGCTCCCCTCTCTGCCTGGCCAGGGCTCCTGGCCCCTCCCTGGCTGCTCCTGTGGTCCCCCGGCGCCTCCCCCGCTGTCCCTTGCCTGCCTGTCCTGGCGGCTCTACAAGCCCACGTGTCTTCCAGCCCCCTCCCCATCACCCAGTTCCCCTGAATTCCCAGCACTGAGCAAAAACCATGTGAATGAGTGAGTGCATGCATAAATGAATGAGAACACGAAGACTCCGTGGTCACCACAGAACACGCCAGCCCCCTCTGACCCAGGGGCCTGTGTGACTGACTCGCCACCTGCTGCCTTCCTGCACCTGGGCTGGGCAGGAAGCATCCAGAAGCTGACCGCGCACTTCCAAGGGATCAGGAACACAAACAAGCAAAACACACAAACACACATAACCTGCGCTAAAACAAACAAGAAGAAGCCAACACACACGTACAGCATCGATGTAGGGACTTGCCAATGTGACCACCTGGACGCCAGGGCAGGGCCCAGAGGCCGAGACCCCCTCCTGGGTTCCCATCTCCCTCCCGGGTCCCCGCCTCCCTCCCGGGCCTCCACACCCCCCCTGGCTCCCCAGCTCCCACCGCAGCTCCACCACCAGCAAGGCCATGGCTGCCCTGGGCAAGGTTCCAGCCAGGATGCCCTCCCGTGCCTGCATTGGTCGCCTCCCCCTCCCCTGCCTCTCGGGCTGCAAACCCCAGGCCCCATCACCAAGCGTGGCCAGCCCCACTCCCATCCCCCTCCCGCCAGCAGGGCCAGACCAAGTCAGAGCCATCATATCCATCTAAGGCCTGAGGGTCCCATGTGTGGTGACAGCTTCGCGCCTGGCCTGGGCACAGGTATGCAGAGCTGGCAGGACCGGCCCAAGCCCAACCCCAGTCAAACCGGGACAGGAGAGAGGCTGTCACATGCACAGGGCCCTGCCGTGGACCATGGCTAGGACACTGGCCTCACGTCCCCAAGGTTTCCGCAGTGGGAAGGCCAACCCAACCCCCCCACCCTGACCCTGGAATGGTCACTCCAAACACAAATGGATGCGCAGGTCACCAGACCCCAGTTGGGGCTTGGGGGGACAATGATGGCGGATGTGGCGTGCACACCTCTACCTACAGGGCTGTTCCTGCACCAGCCCCTCCCCCACCCCCACCCAGGCATAGGTCCAGGGGCACTGGCGCCTAGGCCACTCAGGCAGTTGTATTCATGACCCTTCTTGAGTGTGAAAAGCCCCAGGGAAACGGGCTGCTGCTTCCTCTTTCCGCCCCCCTGCCCTGCCCGAGATCCCTGTTGTTTCACCCCGTTATTGGAGCCACCTCTGGCAGGCCCCAGAACCCCCGCCTCAGAGCGGAAACCCAGGGGAACTTCAGCTTTGATGTCTACCCCCCTCCTCACTAAACAGACCCCTTTGTTCCTCCCAGACACCGGAAGCAGAGAGACAGGGGACACATGAGGCGCCATCAGAGCCCTGAAGAAAAGGGCCACTTCTCAGGATGCCAGCGGCTGCGAGGGCTGAGACCCCCAGGCGCGGCTAGCCGGCACCGCCCTTGTCCAGCTGCCAGCAGAGGCCTGAGCTGCCTCCTTCTCCCACGTTCCTCCCTTCCTGGAGGGAATTATTCACTTCCTCCACTGGAAAAACACCGCCACATCCCTCTCGTCCCCTTTTCCCGTGGGCATTCACATCAGGACAGGCCACTTTGGTCCCCGTCTACAGCCCCCACGTTTCCTGTGTGAGGAGGGAGTCGGGGGCTCCAGGAACGGCCTGCCACATGGACCCTTGGAGTTGGTGTCCTGTCCCTACTACAGGAGCCTGCCAGCCCTCAATGTGGGGAGCGCATGACTCCCAGTCACACCAGAGGGTGCTACATGGATGGGATAGGGGAAGTCTGCTCCCCAGGACTGGGTCCCACGGCCTCTGAGCTGACACTTCAGGGAGGGATGCTGACACCTGTGCCCTGGCATCCTCACCTGTCAGGGGACCTGTCCCACACCCGCAGGCCAGAAATCCTTCCCAGACACTCCTGCAGCCAGGGCCACAGCCTCCAGCCCACTCCCTTCACAAAGCAGAGGCTAGGAGTCACTGCTGGAATCAGACCACCCAGTTCCAGGCCTAGCCCCAGCCTGAGTCTTGGCCCACCAGCACTACCGGAATCAGGCCACGTGCAGTGAGGGCCCCCCAAATTGTGCTGGTTACACAGGGCTACACCTTCCCTGTGCTGTATCAGGGCCGCCCCTTCAGAGAGAGGTGGTGATTGAAGTTCCATTCGGCAGATAAGAAGACTGAGGCCTGGGTGTCAGATCTGCCCAAGGACTCCAACAATGGGGGAGAGAACGGAGCAGATGTCTCCCACCCACTGAGGCCGAGGGCCCCTGCCCAGCCCGGACTGCCAGCGCAGCCTGCTCCCTGCCTGGGCCTGTGGGGTGACAGAGCAGGCAAAAGACCCCCAAAGCCTAGTAATAAGCAGAGCGTGGCAGGGTGACCCCAGACCCGGAGCCCACAGACACCAATGTGTGGCCTGGGACATCCTCAGAGGCCTTCCCAGCGCCAGGCACCTGGACACCAGCAAATGGCCCCAGTCCTGGAGGAGCGATTGAAGCAATGATCCTGCCAGCCTTGGTGCCGGGAAGTTCCCTGCTTGCCCTCTTTCCATTTCATGGACCAGCCTCCAGCAGGCTGTGGCACAGAGCCAGTGGCCAGGAAGTCTCCGTGTCACCATGGGAAGTTGCGGTCCCCATGCAGTACAGCGGGACTAACAGAAGCTACCCAGGGGGTGGGGGCAGGGGTGGATCACTCACCCGAGAGGCAGCCCTCCTCACCGGGCTGCTGGGTCCAGCCTGGGCAGCACCTGAACACGGTCCGGGCCTCTGTGGTGTACACCTGTCTGTATCCCATATAGTAGACGGTTCTAGAAAAGAAGGGAGAAGGGGAGTGCCCACCATGACGGGACTTGGCAGTGTTGGCTCTCACCATACCTGGGGAGTCTGAGTCTGCACCGTGTCACTTCCCAGCTGCACAGGCCGAGATACCAGGTTCCCAGTCGAGGTGGCTGGTGCCCACTGGCCAGTACCTCTGCAACCCAGGGACAGTGAGCAAGCCACAGTGGCTTCACACCGCACTCTGCCCAGGAACATGCCGCCTCATTGAACCTGCCCATGCTCCCCATCCCACGGTGGTCCTGACTCCAGGTGGGGGTCGGATGTGCCCCCCACCTGTCTCTTAGCACCAGGCCAGGGTGGGAGGGCTTTGGAGGGCCCGGGGGAGTTGACAGGAAGTACCCAGCTAGGAGCCAGAATAGTGTCAGGGCTGTGCCAGGGTTGGTGCTGGTTCAGACCCAAGGTTCTCAGTCCATCGGGAAGTGGATGGCCCTGGAGTATCCTCAAGGAGGGTCCCCACACACAGGTGCCACAACTGCTTCCCCCACCCCAGGAGCACAGAGCTGAGCTGACGGTGCAAAGGTGACCCAGAGGAAGCAGTGGTGGGCAGTGGCAGGGGACCCATGTGTGCCCAGGTCAGCAAGAGCTGCAGCAAGACTTGGGGACTGCCGGCAACAGAAGCTGTCCACACCTTGACCTTGGCTTTGGGCCTCCTGAGCCTTGAGAGAATAAAGTCCTGTTGTTGTTCATTCCCCTGGTTGGTAATAATCGTTACAGCAGCAGCAGGAGATTCATGCACACTCACTGTCTGCCACACCCCACAGGGTCCTTACAATGATAGGACCAGTCACAAGGATGCGTGGAAGGAGGATGGGATCAAAGAAAAGGACACTGACAGAGGGACAGAGACAGAGAGAAGGACAGAGACAGAGGAATAGAGACAGAAAGAACAGAGAGAGGGGTAGAGACAGAGAAAAAGAGAGAGATAGAGACAGAGAGAGGAATAGAGACAGAAAGAGACACAGACAGAGAAAGGGACACAGAGAGACAAAGACAAAGAGAGACACAGAGAAAAAGAGACAGACACACAGAGAAAGGGATCAAGAGAGCGAGAGTGAAAGAACGAGAGAGAGAGAAGCAACAGGAGTGAAGGTGGCCCACTCCAGGGCCTGCTCTGCAGCCTCCAGGCCCCTCTCACCACCAGAAGCTCTCTGACACCCCTCCCCACTGCTGTCTGTGGGGACAGCAACCAGGGCCCCAGTAAAAAGCCATTGGGTCAAGGGCCCTTGTGACTCTGGGAGCGGCCTGGACAGCTGAGCTGCCGTCTCCAGGTAACAAAACACAGCCTGGTTTGAAGGGCTGGTTCATGGGAAGCCCAGGCTTGACCCTGGGGACCCTGACCCAACAAACAAACAGGGCCAGCGGCCGGCCAGGGGGCCCACTTCCCGGAAGCACATGTCCCTGCACGCGCACAGCACACAGAGAAAGGGAGCGCCTTGCAAAATTCCACTTTGGCAGGACATGAAACCACTTGCCTGGACAGAAACCGACTACAGCGGTGAACAATACTGGCAGAGCCAAGACTGAGTATGCCCTTGCATCATAAATATTTGTCCCTCTCCCAGACGGCAAGCGGCGCCAGGCTACGTGCTGCTCCCCTGGTCGCCAGCCACTCCTCCCCTCTCCCCCAAAGTGAAAGACCCTTGGAGGGGGCTGGTCGGCCTGCGGCCCCCACGAGGAGGAGCCCTCGACTCTCACAGCCAGCACCAGCTCGGGACTTCGGGGAGCTGGTTCACAGGCAGGGCCAGGGTCCCGGGAGAACCAGGCAGCCTGGCGGTGGGGAGCCCACTCCTCTGCCTTCTGCAGACGCCGTCTTCCAACAGAGACCACAGCACACAGAGCGTGGGCCCAGTGGGAGGGCTACACATGTCACTCCACTATCCGTATCCCCCTCTTCCTCCCTTGCCCTTCCCTCTTGTGGACCTGGTACCTCAGAGGGTGGAGAGTCCCCTACCTGCCTGGGCTCCTCGACCTGGGGTGGCCTGGGCTGGTTGTCAGTTTTGTCAGGGAAGCGCCCCTTAGGGATGACAGCAAGAACCCCAGGTGCCCCATCACCCTCTCAGAGGCAGCCTCACCTGTTCTAGCCCAGGCCAGAGCCTCCGTCACCCTGCATGGACTTGCCTGTGGTGGGCAGCAAGTGCCACAGCCCAGAAGTCACATGAAGCCAGTACCCACTGCCCCCCCAGATGCGACAGCCACACACAGATGTGTTCACTTAATCCTCAGGTCAGTTGCAATCCAGGCGGGGCAATTGAGGCTTAGAGGTTCTGCACCTTGCTGGGCTCACCAGGCCTGAGGACCTGGACTCAAGGTCCTCCTGTGACCCCCACTCTGCTGGCTCTGAGAGCTCAGGAGTGGAGGTGTCTCCTTATATGTCCAGGGACAGGACAGTGACCTGCGCTGGGGGAGTCAGGATGTACTTAGTTTGTGGGGTGGCCTGTGCTGAGCAAGTTGGGGTGTGCTGGGTTTGTGTGATGGCCTGTGCCAAATGAGTCAGGGTACAGTGGGTTTATGGGGTTACCTGTGCTGGGCGAGAGGATACACTGGGCTTGTGGGGTGACCTGTCCTGGGTGAGTTGAGGTGTACTCAGCTTGTGGGTTGCAGACCTGCTGCCTCTCACCCTCAGCTCCCAGCCCCTCTGTGACTTCCCCCAGGCACCAGGATTCCCCAGGAAGAACAGCTGAAGAAAGAGACGCCAATGCCAAGTGCGCGGGTACACCCTGACCATGAGGCCCACAAGCTGAACAGCCGACAGGCAGAGCCACAGCTGCAGCGCCCTTCAGGCCTGGGCAGAACGTCTGCCACCCAAGTCCCCTGTGGCCTCACAGACGAAGGCCATGGAGGGGCTGGGGCAGACCCGGCCAGGGCGTGAGGCTGGCAGAGCCGAGGGGCTCGTGTGGTGCCCTTCCTGCCAACACCCACACGTGTTCCTGGTTTCGGTGCCTGGGGTGGCTCTGCCCTACCCCACAGGGGCGACCAAAGACGAGGTCCCCACCTCCTGGCCCTGCCAAGATAAGCACCTTCCGTGTTTGGGCCAAACCAGCCCCAGTCCCAGAGACACTTCTGGAGTCAGGACCTGACCTGGCACTGATGCTGCTGGACACAAGAGCACAGCCCCTTCCCTCACCCTGTGGGGCTCATCACCATCATTCCCCATCCCACCTGAGCTGGCCAGCTGCTTCCTGTGCCCAGAGCCTTCTTGAGTCCCCCATAGGGAGATGCTGGGACATGAAGGGCCACTGGCTTTCTAGAAGTGGGAAGGGCTTCACAGTGGAGGGCATATGCAAGCTGTGTCCAGTGCTCTGCTTGGGAGCACTGAACCTGCAGGCAAGCGAGCAAGGCCACAGGCTCTGGGCTAGGACAGGGTCCTGGCCTGTTCGGTCAGAAGGGAAGCGATGCTCATGGTCCAGAGGGCGTCGGGGCAGATGTCAGGACTTCAAGGGGGGACAAGGGGGGCAGGCCCCAGACAGGACTCCTCCAGGGGCTGCCCAAGGCCTCCACAGCCCAGAGCAACAGCCCAGAGGGATGTCCAGATGGGCCAATCGGGAGACTCCCGAGGCTTAGAAGGGGACACAAGAGGATATGTCGGCCTGGGAGCATCGAGGCACACAGACAGACCAGGAGCACCCCAACAGGACAAGACTGGGTCACCCAGAGCCACTGTCGCTGGTTTAGGAAAGCACATGGCACGCTTGGTCCCTGTGGCACCGGTGTGGTGGGAGGGCCCTGCCTCTGGTTCAAAGGGGTGGGGGGCAGGGGGGTGAGAAGAGGCCCGAGTTGAGGGGAGGTGGACCCCAGTTGCACCCCAGAGCCAGGTTGGCCAAAGTTGCCCGTCCCCCACCCATGAGCCTAGAACCCAAGCCGCTCCCATGGAACCCCAAGGCAGAGCGGTCCCATCTCGGGGAGGAGGGCTGGTGGAGGGCACCTCACGGGGCAAGAGGGAACACCCTGCCAGCACGTGACCCAGGCAGCCTGGTCCTCCCAGCTGAGGGATGTCTCCCACTGATGGCCTGGATGTCCTGCTGGGAGGCTGACAGCACCACTTCAGACATGCTTCTCCCCCTCACCCACAGGCCAGCCCAGAGACCCCCACAGAGATATCCTCCAAATGGCCAGCCACATGCCTCCCCTAGCTCGGCCACCACAGAACCTTCCAGCCGGGGCCCAGTGGATTCCGGTCCTTCCACTATGGGTTGTTCACGGAGTGGTTCAAGGGACAAAATCCCCACTTTGTGAAAACACGCACAGTCACACACAAGTGGGGGACGCCAGGACAGGTAGCAGAACGCTATCTTGGGAAACCGGTAGCACTGGAGAGCCCTGAGGGGAGAGTGACTCCCTCTACCAGGGTCCCTGACCTCTGCCCTCCTGACCTTGGGTGGGTCACTCTCTTGGGGTGTTGAGCTGCTTCCAGGCCCCGCCCACCAGGTGCAGTGGCTCCTGCCCTCCCAGCTCAGCCCTCAGCAGCCAAACCCAACACCACTTGCCAACGTGGGGTGGGAGAAGCACCCTGAGAAGCTCCATTACTGCCTCGCTGCATTTCCTCTTCTGCTCTGACACACGCGCATATTCAGCAAACAGATAGTGGCCACGGGAGTTGCATCCTGCAGGGCTGGGACCCCCTAGAGCAGGCACAGAGGTGTGGGTGCCCTCCCTGGACCCCGCGCCATGGATCCCACACCCACGAAACTCAAGCCCATGGAACCCGCATCCACCAGCCCCATGCCCATGGAGCCCACACTCACGAACCCTGCGCCTGCAAGCCCCGTGCCTCAGACCCTACAGCCTAAAACCCCATGCCCACAAACCTCATATCTTGGACCCGTGCCCAAGGATGCCCATGGATCTCATACCCACAAACCCCACACCCATGGAGCCCACACCCACGAATCCTGTACCCATGAGCCCCGCACCCATGAATCCCACACCCACACCCATGGATTTCATGCCCACACCCATGAGCCTTGCATCCACGCGTCCCACGTCCGCAAACCTCATGTCCATAAACCCTGCATCTTGGACCCCGTATCCACAGACCCTGCACCCCCGGCCCCTGTACCACTAGAGCCGCAGAGGCAGGGCTGTGGCCTCCCAGAAGCCTCAGCTGAGAAGCTGAATGCATGCCCCTCTCTGCGACATACACTCCACCTGCCCTCCCTCAGACCCACAGGAACCCTCCACCTGGCGCAGGAACACTGCCAGCTCCCCCAACTCACTCTGCCATCGGGAAACTGTGCAGAGCCAGAGTCTATGAAAGGGGAGAGGGTGCAGAGGCATGCCTTCAGCTTGATTTTAAAATAAAGTCTTGAGCAATAAGAGGTCTCGGGGCTGGGAATAAGGCCCAGGGGCCAGGCAGCAGCAGTCTCTAGCTGGAAGCCCAGCAAGCAAGCACCTGCTTACCACCCTCATGTGGGCAGCTCACCTCCTGGGAGGGTTCCCGCCTCCCTCACACTCCCCCCTAAGGGCCCAGAAGCAGGACCACGCAGGAGAGGGCCACAGCATGGGAGTGGCTTGAGAGGCAGTCTCACCTCTCAGGAGTGGGAAAGCCTCATCCTCACACGAGGGCTTCAGGTGGAGGGGCAGGTGGGCCCTGAGACCAGGACGGGCCCCCAGCTCCAGCTACTGGCTCCTGGCTGGTAAATGCTACCCACCATTGGATTCCAGGTCCCCGGCACGTACCTCCTCTCGTGGCCAATGCACCACACCTGCCACCCACAGTCTGGCCTCCACACGGGCACCGTGCGGCTGAAGGCCTGCACGCAGGGCTGGCGGCGGCCCACCAGGGTCAGCTCCTGCTCGGGACACACGTGGGGCCTAGGACAGAGGACAGACAGTCAGCACCTGGGCCACCCTCAGTCGCTGGCTCCCGTCCCACTTGCATGCCCACCCTCGGGTGCTGGCCCACCCTATGGGTTCAGACCTGTGTCCAGTCCTCCACGACACGGTGCCCGCCAGTGCCTACCTAGACCTGCCACAGAGCCCAGGCTGGAGGGCTCAGAGCTTAGTGGGAAAGGGACAATGACCAAGGCCCCCCCACATAGGGTATCACGCTGCTCCTAACCCTCTAAGACCCAGCCACGCAGCCACCGCATCCTTCAACAGGCAGGAACCATGGGGCTTGAGGAACCGTCATGGGTCCAACATCCAGGACTGACCGAGTGCCTCTGTCCCTGCCACAGCAGCCCTCCCCTTTACTTCTGAGACACCCCCCGAGCCTGGTGGTGCTGGGGTGGGGACAGAGTTCACCCTGGGCAGGAGGTATGAGAGAGGCAGGGCTTGGGGGAAGTGGAGCGTCCAGGGAACATGGAGTCAGGGGGCAGTGGGCTGGGGGTGCAGCCACATCCTGGGGACCACCATCCCTGCCCACACAGGTGGGTGTTTGGACAGTGAGCTCTGGGATGACCTGGTGGGGATTGGGAAACACAAACGAAAGCCCTGGGCCAGGTACAGTGACTCATTCTTGCAGTCCAACCTATTTGGGAGGCTGAGGCAGGAGGATTGCCTGAATCCAGGAGTTTGAGACCAGCCTGGGCAACATGGCAAGATCTTGTCCTTATATTAATAACAAATGAACAGCCGGGCTCGGTGGCTCAGCCTGTCATCCCACGCCTTGGGAGGCTGAGGTGCATGGATTGCCTGAGCCCGCGGGTTCGAGACCTGCCCGGGCAACTTGGCGAGACCTCATCTCTACAATTAATCAAAAATCAGCCGGGCGTGGTAGCGTCCGCCTGTAGTTCCGGGTACTCAGAAGGCTGAGGTGGAAGGATCCTCAGAGCCAGCAGGTCGAAGCTGCGGTGGCCGGGAGCGGCCACTGCACTCCAGTCTGGGCGACAGAGTGAGACTCTGATTCAAAAAAAAAATAATAATAACAAATGAAAACATTAGCCCAGCAGGGTGGTGCATGCCTGTGGTCACAGCTACTCAGGAGGCTAAGGCAGAAGAAAAGCCTGAGTCCAGCAGGTTGAGGCTGAGGTGGCTGAGATCACACCACTGCACTCCAGCCTGGGTGACACTGTGAAAACCTGTCTCAAAAAAAAAAAAAAGGAAACTAAAGCCCTGGTCCCAGCCCCACTGACCCCTTGGGCCTTCCCATGCCCACCTGACCCAGGGCCAAGGGTGTCCCTGTAGAGGCAAACTTGGGGAAAGAAGGCAAGACTTCGGTACTGACATCTCAACAAGCTTGAGGAAGTCTGGGGAGCCGGCCGGACTCCTGTGGCTGCTGAGAAGGGAGGAGGCTGGTTCTGCTCACTCCGCAGAATGAGGGGCCAGCAGGCCCAAAAAATCCCACCAGAGCCCCCTCCTATGTCCTGGGGCAAGCAGGTGGCATGGCCATGCCCCCCACCAGCCTCTCTGAGTCCTCTCCCACCAGGGGATTTTGGGGCATCCTCGAAGTCTGTCCCTGGAACTGTGGGGCCCCATCACTGCCCTCTACCCCACGTCCCACAAGGATCCCTAATCCCGCTGCCAGGCAAGCTCTGTACTCGGAGACCCTGTCTGAAACTTCTCCTGTGGGAGGCTTCACTCCTCCTTCTTCCCTTGGGCTTGTGCTGGACAGAAAGCCTGGCGTTCCTGTTCTCAGACCGCCCCATCGAGCAGAGCCATCCAGCAAGTGCAGACCCAACTCAACAGCAGGCGAGAGGAATGCACCCAACGGCGAGAGTCTGCCAGCTGGGAGGGCAGGGCTCCCCAGGGGGCTGCAGCACACCATGGCAGCCAGGACCAGTCAAGTCCAAGAGGGGCTGGGGCTGCTGCCCACGACCCCCCGACCCACGCCCCTTCTGCCCTCTGCCCACGCCCCTCCTGCCCACAGCCCTTCTGCTCACGCCCTGCCCACAGTTTCCCAAGAGTGGGGACCCTTGGGGCACAGGGAGGGCAGAGCTCCGCCCGGCCAAGAGCAGGATCCAGGCGGCCCCTGTGAACTCCTGGACAAGATGTGCAACTGCAGATTGGCTAGCCGGGCTCGGTGGCTCAGCCTGTAATCCCACACTTTGGGAGGCTGAGGTGAGTGGATTGCCTGAGTCTGCGGGTTCAAGACCCGCCTGGGCAACTTGGTGAGACCTCATCTTTACAATAAATTAAAAACAAAAAATCAGCCGGGCATGGTAGTGCGCGCCTGTAATTCTGGCTACTTAGAAGGCTAAAGCAGAAGGATCGCCGGAGCCCAGCAGGTCGAGGCTGCAGTGGCCGGGAACGGCCATTGCACTCCAGTCTGGGCAATGGAGTGAGACTCCAACTCAAAAAAAAAAAAAACAACTGCAGACTGGCAGCCTCCACTGCGACCTGGACCCTCCAGCCAGGTGGCACTGGCTGTGCCATCCCAGGGTGGGTGGGAGAAGCCCTGCCATTGCCTCTTCCTGCAGCAGGGAGACAACCCCCTCCATGGGTCAGGGCGCGACTGCCAAAGGTCCAGGAGTGGGGTAAGAGGCAACTCATTTCGGGCGCACCTCCCCGGTGCTCGGCACCAGGCCCTTTCTGGACATCACAGAATCTCCCCAACTCCCCAGGGAGGAGGTGAGAGTGACCCACCCTCTCAGTCTGCTCAAGGTCACCCGATAATGAGAGGTAGAGCCAGGACTGAAAGCCAGTCTCTCTACCTTCCCGGCACTGCTGGGCCTCCGCATGCCAAGGGTCAAGGATCCCCAGGTGAAGACACAGGGAGCGGGCAGGGCAGGAGGGCGAATGGGCAGAGGAGCCCGTCCCCAGGGAAGGGACCTCCTCAGCCTTCCTGGGGTTGCGTCGCGGCCTGAGAGGTTCCTGACCTCCAGCCTCCAGCACTGAGACTGGCTGGTCTCATGCACCCCACTCCCATCCCCGAGCCACCCTCACTCCCAGCCCCCGTGACTCAGGAGACTGACCTGAGTGGGTATGACAGCTATTCCACCCTGGGGTGAGGGAAACACGGAGGGCTGATGCCTGCAGCCCAGAGAGAGCTTTGTGGGGTAAATTCGCCCAGCAGCCAGAGGGCAAGGGTGTGTGTGTGCATCATGGCCTCTCACACAGCCACCTCGAGGCACGCACACCTGTCTGAAAACTCCCCAACCAGCCCCTCATGAGAGGGTGCTGTGCCTGTCACCCCACTCCCACCCCACTGACAGAACCCCGAGACTCGAGAAGGCAGACTTTCCTGGAACAGTGCTGGTGAGAGTTTTAGAGGCTTGCACACTTTGGAGGACAGAACAGGGAGGGAGCTCCCCGCCCCCCGAGCGTCAGATCTAGGCAGTGAGACGTCAAGCAGAGGTTCTCAAAGCAGGGCCCCGGGCCAGGGTCAGCAGGGTCTCCTGCAACCCTGTCAGAACGCACTCCTGGGCCTCACCCTGGATCCACTGAGTCTGGAATTCTGGGGGTGGGGCCCAGCATTCCTCAGAGATTTAACAATCATATGTGTTTCAGCGAGCCGCCAGAGGATTCTGGGACACACTCAAGTTTGAGACCCCCAGATCCAGGCCGCCAGGGTTTGAATCTCAGCTGCCCATTCACCAACTTTCAGATGCACAGGTGACTGAGCCTCTGCCTCAGTTTCCTCACTGTAAAAGGAGAACTCACAGTACTGATCCCATCAGGGTGCTGTGAAGGTTAAGTGGCTAGTCCAGAGCCCCAGGTGGGTGTGAGCCAGTGTGACTGGTCATGCTGGCACCCAGTCAAGAAAGTGCTGTTTGTTCAGGAAAAAGTGCTACCTATGGCCTGGCGCAGTGGTTCAAGCCTGTAATCCCAGCACTTTGGGAGGTAGAGACAAGAGGACTGCCTGAGCCCAGGGGGTTCAAGATCAGCCTGGGCAACTTGGTGAGACCTCGTCTCTACAATAAATAAAAAAATTAGCCAGGCGTGGTGGCATGCACCTGTGGT